GTGATATTTATAAAACCTATTTTGAGAATATATTGATGGTAGGAAAAGTTAACTCCTTGCATATAGAAGAAAGTGGAAATTAGCCAGGAGTTAAAATGCACTGAACATTCTTTCAGCAATTGTATTTTGAGTCAGGCAGTGTACAGCGTGTTTGTGTTTTTCAGGCAGAGATAGTGGGAAGTTGATCAAAGAGCCTGTGTGAATGCATCTAAGTGTGCTCATGGAACTGCATAAATAACAACCACCACCATAATAATAAAAGGCATGAGAAATAATGAGAGAAAGTGTGTCTACGAGAGGAATTCTGGTCAGCTTTTGAAAGATACTCTTTGCCTCTGGCTTCCCTATTAGTGGGATCAGGGAGACGTTGGCAAAAACACCTCAACAGTGATGGGAGCAGAGGTGGGAGTGAGAAGGGAGCAGGAATACAGCAGGTGTGGTCTTTATTTTGGAGAAATTTAACAGTTAAAAAAAATAGGAAAGAAAGGGTGTCATTTGCAGGAAAGTTCAATCAGCAAAAGTGACTGTTCTTGAATGGAGGCTAAGAAAACTGAATGAGATTATAGACAGAGGATTTAGAACCATTGGAAAGACAGAAATGGGAAATAAAAACAAACAGCAAATATTGATAGGACAAAACTCAGGAAGTGGGATGTAATAGAGTGTAAGGTGGAGATATTAGCTTTGAGGGGAGGATAGATGCTGGTCCTGCTGAGATATGATGAAACAATGACAAGTGTGGATAAATGACTGTATCTACCATTACCAAAGAAAAATCTCTATCCCTCCCCAAAATGTGCTATCACAATTATCTTTAGTCAGAAAAGACATTTGATGAGGCTTAATATCTCTTTAACCATTTTTTTTTTTACTGAACAGAGTAAGATGTTTATATATAAAAATAAGCTAGACTTTCAAAAACAAAGAGATGAGTCACATTGCCCTTGCATTATCCTAGAAAACTTGTTTGTAAAATGAGGTTCAGTTTAAAAAATGAAGCCTATTTCAATTAACTGGATAAAGCTTATAAAAATTTAAAAACATGAATACTATTTTCCTGTGTTTATCTGTTTTAAGTCCTTCTAATGATAGAGCTTCTCTTTCTTATAATTAATTACTATATTTTAAATTCTGCTACCTTGTTCAGGTCACCTAAAATTAGATTTGAGAGACTGGAAGTGTTCTGACTATGCATTACTGAAAACTGAAGTGATAATCCAAGACTACTATGCTTGTTAAATTCTGAAGTGTGTTTGTACTATTATGAAATTCCTCATGTGCTTCCTTGTCACCCAGTCCTCTCAGATCCCCCAAATCCTAACGTTTCAGTAACTGAAGAGATAATTCCAATTATGTCAGGTAGCTTCTGACCCTGTTGCTTGCTAGGTCCAGATTATGACTTCTGGTTTTGAAATGTCTTGAATGCCCAGGGTTTTCATGAGATGAATCATTTTTTGCAACATTGACATAGTCTTAGGAATTCACGTCGTCTCAATGATCACAATCTTCTCCCTGCCACACAGATCATTGGGTAGAATTGGTGATCTAGTTGAGTCTTTTCTTCATTTACAAGGTAGACTAAAGGAGCCTCATAGAATAAGCACACATTTACCACCCAAATGATCATTGGGAATCAAGGATGGATTATTTCTCAAAGCAACCATACACTGAATACCCATATTGCCTGGTTCCTGGGATAATTTCAGTTAAGAACATTGCTGTTTCTTAAACTGCCCCCATCTTCCAGAAAGACAACGACAAAATACTGAAGTTAGCATTTTCCAACTGAAGTATCCCATTACTGGTCAAAAGGGTTTGAGATGCTGATACCCTCAATTTTGAGGTTAATTCCCAAGGCCTGGGGTAATCTCTATAAATAACTTATGCTATTTACTTTTGTGTAATTTGCAAATATTATCATTGCTTTAATGTGCTTTGATATGATGATTTGGGAAGGACTGGTTAAGGTACAATCCTTCAAGCCATCTGCCAGCTGTCTTATCAGTTACCCAGCAGTGATGGAAGTTAAGAAAAGAGTATATTAAAGGTGAGGAAGACCATAGTCTCTAGTCTATGAAGAAACTACTTAGCTCTTTCTTTCATTCAAGCAAATTTCTTTTTTATCCCTACATGTTACCACTAGGAAGAATCTACTAGTTTTGTATACTGCTTCTGAGAAATTCGAACATTTTTTTCTGTTTTCTCAAAATTTGTTTCGTGAATGCCAGATGTGCATTTCACTCCCTCTATCATGTTAATCAGTGACCTGACAATCCTAAGGATGCAAAAACCGAACAAAACAACCAAAAAAACCAAAAACTTTGATTTGAACCAACACATATAATACTTAAACAAACAAACAAACAAAAACCTTGCTTTTAAAAAGAACTACTGAGTCATCTTTGGCCTCTGTAAAATTTCTAGGCTCCCAGGTTTGAAGTGTTCTTTCTGTGGGCTATTTTTGGAATTTTTACAGAGAGATCTAAATATATCTGGCCTAAACACTACTTTGACATTCATGCAAGGATATATATTCTCAAATTTCTAAGAATCAGTCAATTAATTTTAAAAAGAACTGCATTGTGACTCTTGGTCATAGAAATGTATAGTTTTTCAAAACTAATTTATATTTTTCAATTTAATTTTTAAAGTGAATTTATGTTAATCTTATAAATAAAAGATTTAGTATTAGAAACTCTCAGTGAAAAGAGTTTCACTTACTTTATTTCTATAATTTGGATTTAAATTTGTGTATTTGTATTATATATATATTTTCTATATAGGTATTATATATGAATATTTATATATACATTTTTATATAATGTATGTTTTAAAATATATTGATATTCAAGTTACGGACATGTTACAAAAAATGAGTTGTGGATTTGGAGTGATGGGCATTAGACAAAACTAATAGACTTATATGTCAGTAACTGTATAAATATACATGCAAAAAAATGACAGTTAGCCAGTACTTCATCTATTGAAGCTCTATCATAACAATGTATTTATATCCCCCAGATACAAAATGTTGAAAGCTGTTTTAGCATCAAACAAAATCACATATACCCATTACTCATTTTGAGAAGATATTTCAAAACGTATCTTACTTTTGGCAAGTCCAGCTTTGTGGGGAGAGGAATCTTAAGATATAAAAGGAAGTTATGTAATTTAAGTGTTTATGAAAAGGCAGGGGTGCCTGGGTGGCTCAGTTAGTTAAGCGTCTACCTGTGGCTCAGGTCATGATCCTGGAATCCCAGAATCGAGTCTCACCTTGCACTCCCTGCTCAGTGGTGAGTCTGCTTCTCCCTCTGCCCTACACCTACTTGTGCTCTCTCAATTGCTGTCTTTCAAATAAATAAATAAACTCTTAAAAAAAAAAAAAGGAAACACTAGTGTGTGTTGGTAAAGATGCTAAAAGCTTTTGATACAATCCCTACAACAACCTGATGAAGCACAGAAAACATACATAATTTTTTCAGCTTATTGTTTATAAATGATAAGACCAAGAATCTGGCTCCAGAGTCTGTTAACAGATCCACTCTGCTGCATTTTTTTACATAATTAACACATGTTGAATTCCTATTCTGAGCCCACATCTCACAAAAAAGCTCACAAAGTTCAGTGCTTTGCCATCAATAACTTTTGACATTCACAACAAGCCTACAAGGTAAACTCAGTTGATAGTTTTATTTATACATGAGAAAATTAATGCTTAGCTGCTTTAATAAATTAATGTCCCATGGGTATTAACATTGCTGTGATTAAATTCTAAGTGTGCCTGACTATAGAATCTGGGCTCTTGTAGTAATCAGTGTCAGATTAACATTCGATTGCAGTCATATGGCATGACTGCACTCGGATTTAGGAGAGCTGGGCAAGATGAAGAATCACGGCATGGCGAATTTGGAGAGTGCCTATAGAAGAAGTGTAAATAAGTTATGGGAGTAAACAACCTGAACTTTAGATATAGCAGTGTACAATTTGGATGTTGGATGACGGTTCAGAATTGGTGAGCTTCAGAAGACTTGGTATTACAACCTAAATGTATCTATAAAAACGCAAAGGGTGATCATGTAATGTACTATTATCATCAGCAGGAGAACTCAATGAGTATGCTTTGTTCATCATCACCTCCCCACTCCTTAGTAAATTCTGTTGTATTGTAATTGCTCAGTAAAGATTTTTTTAAACAAAAATATCCATATGTAAGTATATAACTAGCTGTTATATACTATTATATATATACAAATATATATATTTACTTATAATAAAGTAAATAAGTATATAACTAGCTATTCTTAATAAAAATGAAATAATTTTAGATTGACAGAACTTCATTTAAATTCCACTAAAATCTTTTTGTTCTTGTTACCCGATTCAATTCTAACAAGAGCTCCGCCAAGGAGTTGGAACTCTCCATATTTCCCAGTTGAGGAAATTGAGATGTACAGTGTTTAAGTACCTGGCCCACTTAATCTAAAGATAAGAGGTAAATTAATGATGCAAAGCAGCCATCAGATTTTAAGTCTATGCCATTTAAAGTTTGAAAAGAATATTCGTGTCTTTAATGTATTATTTGTATTATTTGGAAAAAACACATACTATTTTTTTAAAGATTTTATTTATTTATTTAACACAGAGAGAAAGAGATCACAAGCAGGCAGAGGAACAGGCAGAGAAAGGAGGAAGCAGGCTCCCTGCTGAGCAGAGTGCCCGATGCAGGGCTCCATCTCAGGATTCTGAGCCAAAGGCAGAGGCTTTAACCCACTGAGCCACCCAGACACCCTCAAATACATACTATTTTATATCCTATGCAGTTTTTAAAAAATAGGTTTTTAACCACGTGGGCTAATTTGGACATTCCTGAGAGTCAGAGCTGCTCTCTGGTAGTTATTTTCTATAGTTTTGTCTTGTAAATTAAGGCTGGTAATTTCTTGTGCTTAATGGTTTTAGTATTAAAAGCCAAACTGACCCATTTTTACATTTTTGTTTTTCAGGTCCTGAAGAGGTAGAACTCAAGTGCCCCTTGAATCACATTGCTTGCCTTGGTACCAACAAATGTGTTCATTTATCCCAACTGTGCAACGGTGTCTTGGACTGCTCAGATGGGTATGATGAAGGACTGCATTGTCAGGGTGAGTCCGTTTGTGGAACAATCCAACCACACTATTAAATTATTCACAGTTTAATGGAAGTTCAAGAACCTATAACCTGCCTTTTCTTTCAACCATAACCATATCAGTTATTGAGAAAGCAAGAATTTTATTGCCAGAAACAGTCAATATGCATTTCAAACCTGTAACTTGTTGTGCTTTATTGAAAAATGCCATTAGAAAAAAAAATACATTTGGGCTTTGACACTGGACTCTGAAACAATTGCATATTTCATAGAAAACAGCATTCTTGAGGAAAAGACAAATGAGAAGTCTTTGTCACAGGAGATTAATACCCTACAGTGTCATAAATTTATTTCTCTAAACCTTTGCTTAAACAAAGAGTATTTGAAGTAAAACCTCTGCAACAAAATATTTTAGTATTCCTAGGAATCTTTCCTTAATGTTACTTCCATGAAGTTATACCTACTTTCCTATAATTTTCTTTCTTTTTAAAAAAGCAACATCTATGTTCTACAGTGGTCATGTTTTTACCTACATATTAAGGAAGATAGGGAGAAATAATTAAAATCTAAAAGTTAACAAAAAGTTAACCAGAATATGGAACATTCTAATAAAACTGGTTGGAGAGAGGAAATGAAGTATGAAGCCCCCCCCCCAAAAAAAAAAGAAAAAAGAAAAAGTTGAGGATTGAGGTAAGGACCCAAATCTGGAAACAGAATCGAGGTATCAGTCAAGTAAATTTGGCACCAAGATAAAGCCCAGAAAGAAACCACTGAATCAAAAGTCTCTCAGTCAAATTCCCACCAGCTGAGTATAACACAAAGGGTATTTATTGAAGCTGAGCAGTTAAAGAGTGAGTAACCTGTCCTTTGTGTTGAGGTCAGTAAGACAATAAGGAATAGAAAACTATAGAAAACTAGAGATACATGTCTGGTCTCTGACCAGATTCACACAAACTAATTGCTGCCATGTGCAAACAGGTCACAGGTTACCTAAAGTTCCAGTTTTTCAGAAGCAATTCCATATCTGTATGTGTTTACATCGTTCAATGTAAGCTACTCTTTTTAAAACATTGTGTGGCCAACCATGTACAGACCGAACAAAACCTGTCTGGAGTCCTGTCAGGGCTTACTGGCTTCCAGCTGCCTATAGGGCTGAATGAAGTAACTGGATTCAATACCAGAGATGGAGAGATACACTGGAAAAAAGAGTAAATCTTAGAAAGGTAGTCCAAGGTGGTAAGGCTATTGAGAGACCATAGATCATCCGGGCCACTGGGTCTTTCCCTTTTTCAGAGGAGACTATCTCTGGTTCTATGGACAGATTCAGTCTGAGAAGTTACAGCTTTTCCTTCTTTGGCTGAGTTTTGTTTCTTAGCCTGAATTCTGTCAGGGTCACAAAAGGAGCCAAAAGATTTTCAGTTTTAGTTATGAACACATGTGTAATAATAATTAATAAGATATTTTTTATTTAAAGACCTTTGACATGTATTCGCTTTGTATAATTGGATATTTAAAAGAAGGATATTAACAGAAAAAAGGTAAAGTATGGAATTATAAAGTGATAGGAGTCAAAGAGTTTAATTTTCTTTTCAGAAATTATCTTTTCTAGAGCCTAATTCTACCCACTTCAGTTATAATTCAGGCTTCTTATTACATTAAGGAAAAAAAAAAAGTTTTGGATAGATGTGTGACTGAGCTTCTAAAAGAGTGAAATTATCACATTGCCAAAAACTTCCTCGGAAGTGGTTACACAAATTAGAATATCTCAAACATGTTTCAGTGCTGTGAATCATATGAAAATATATCTGAGTTCTCTAGTAAAATTTAGAGTTGTGATCTAATAGGTGAAGGAATATGTTAATAGTAAAACACGGGATTCATATAAATACAAAGTTTTGGACTAAAAATAAAATGGTACTAGATTTATCTTGAACTTTTAAAAACTCAGTGTATACTTCAGACTGAAATACATTTAACGTTTATAATTGTTTATGGTTCAATCTTTCTTCCTGTTCTAATTCAGGTTTCTAACTGTTCCAACTTTCATATCTTTGTTACTAGTGACAAACTTTTTCTTTTCTTTTTTTTTTTTTGGTAGGAGGCTGATTGAACAATTTTAGCCTTTTAAATATTTCTAAATTTCACCAAATGAAGTGTTTTAAAATGCCAAGTAATTTATTATGGCCTGAGGTGGATTTAGAAAATAAAGAGAAATATATTTGGATCTGTGCTTGCTATTCACCTTACTGGAGGGTGTATCTTCAACCTTTCTCCTAATTTTATGCCACACCCAATGAAAACTTGTTTTCTGATGAGTTAATTAGGCACCAGCCTGTCACATTTCTAAAGAAATTTCTCATCTATAGAGATACAATAAAGAAAGAAACCAGATTAATTCAAACATTGTATTGATTTTTAGAGATGCTTTTCTCTTGTAGAACAATTCTGCCTGAATCACTTTCTCTGTCTAAATCCACTTCTCTTTTTGTTGCATTCTAAGCACATACTCCAATTTAAGTAATTATACATGAAGCCAAAGACGTGATTCAAAGATGCATATGTCTCCTTTTTTTTTTTCTAATAAAGGATCAAAGTACATTTGGTGGTATATTTGTATCCTTTGTGAAAATTAATAAGGAGAAAAGTTTAACATTTTGGAGGTGATATCCTGGTCTTGGGAATGGTTTTGTATCAACGAATTGTTTTCTGAATGTTCCCTAGAAAAAATCAATTTCTTCCTGGTGAGGGTAATGAAAAGATATCTATTATTAATGATTTTCTATAACACTGATATTTTAATCTCCATAATTTAGCTCCATTTGAAGAAAGAAAAATGGATTTTTGTATATGGGTGTACTTATATATAGGGATGTGCTTGTAAAAATTTTACAATGAGAATGTTCAAAATCACTACCTTATATTTTAGAAAACTTCATCTCTTCCTACATAATATTTCATATCAGTAATAATATTACTATATCTAAATTGCATGAGCAATAAAAATGCATTCTGTACAGTCCAAGGCTTCTCAGTACAGGATATTTCCATAGAAATCCTCAGAGCCATGCAAAGAAGTGAACAAATTCAACTAATAGATACCAGATCGACTGAATTGTATCAAAACACTATTTTGAAATTTGATCTTCTTGACGTAATTCATTATGTTAACATTTAAAGTGGCTGTGAACAAGAGAAGCCCCTTTTTAAACTCACAATCCTGTTTAGAGTACATTTGCGGTGCAAAATAACCAAACATTTCAATGTACAAGGGAACAACAGTTTCTGTGACATTGTCCACTTTTACTCTATTAAAAGAATACGGAAACACTTCATGTTAGTGCAAAAAGAGATTCTGTCTTCTGTGTCTCAAGAAAACATGATTATGTAATCTACGTGATTGTTTACCCAGCATCCCAATGTCCTTTTCAATTTGTGTGAAGAGTTTACTAAAACTGATTAGGGAATGAAACTCTCTGCCATCTGAAGAGCTCACCACCCAAACATACAAATATGCACACACAAACACACATACTATTCTTTCCTGATTTCTCTCTTCTATCCTGAACCTGTTCCTACATAATTCTGAGTGTATAACATGTTAATTGGTGTATTTGATATGGAACCGAGAGAAGAATAAGATTCTCTTTTATATCACCTTGAATATATCACCTCGAATATATCTTTTGTATCACTCCTTGAATAATGCATATTCAGAATTCTTAAAATTCCATTTGATTTTTTTACTTTACTTGCCATTTGGAATATAATTTTCCTAATATGTGCAATTACAATTTTCTCCACCCACTCACAATCTATTCTAATGTATTTATTTTAGATTCTAGGAATTCTAATGTATTTATTCTAATGTATTTTAGATACTGATTTATATTTAAAAATTTATGTGGCTTTTTCTTCCTTTTATATTACTACTGGTAAAAATAAAGTCTTAGGAGAAAATACTAAAAAATCCTGGAATTAATTTACAAATTAGAGCTTTCTCAAAATGGACTGAAGTGAAATGGCAAACTTTATTATCTGTAATAACTCAACACAGGAAAATTAGTAATCCTTAAAACTTCTGTTTAAATCACATATATATTCCAAATATTCAGAAACTAATCCAGGTCAATTAATTTGATGCAATAATTGATTTGAGAAAATTAAATGTAATAAATTTAATTTAAAGTAGTAAGATTTTTTTAAAAATTAAAAAAAATAAAGTATTCAGAATTAATCTTTAGTTCAAATGTTCAGGATGCCAGTTTTCATTCCTTCAGAAAAGAAATATTTTACCTTGTGATGATATTTTGTTAGTCATTACAACACTGATTTCAGATGGACACAAGATTAGCTTATGTAGCTACCAGGAAGGAAGGAAGGAAAGAAAGAGGTTGGTGAAGCTGATGAAAAGGGCAAATAATTTTGGAACACTTTATTTATTTATTTTTTACATTCACTTTATTGTATCAGTGAATCTTGCCCTATCCCCATTTTAAAAGTTCCTATTGAAAAATATTGCCAATCCTTTTTCTAAATTAAAACCAGCTTATCATGCTAGAGAAGGGAATTTCAGTATGCAGAATCCAAAAGCAAAGGTATGGAAAAGAGGTAAAATTGCAGGCAATGTTAGAGGAAGTATATCTTCCAGCAACACAAAGCTTAAAGCTCGTGGAGAGAAAGAAACTTGACCAGTGTGTTTTCAAGTTACTTGAAACATCAATAAGCCAAGAGCTAGAAAACAAACAGCTATAATTACCCAGGAGGACCTGGGTTTGTGTGTTCAGACCACTTTAGATTATTGAAGTTCCTGCAACTTAAAAGTAGATTTTGCTATATATATATATAATATATATATATATATATTTAATATATATATAATATATATATATATATATATATTTTTTTTTGTCTTGAGTTGTGCTAAGGTGATCGCAGAGTCTCAAATCTATCTCAAGTATAAGCATTTTCTCTCAAAATGATTAGCTTCAGTAACTGAGTTAGTTTAGTGAAAGCCTA